TACCAGGCCTTACCACGCAGCCAGAAATTCCTCGTAGCCTTGCCAACTGGGGAGCGGTGCTAATCACACACCCATGCCATCCGACCCAACTGCATGGCTTCCCGCAGTTTTTAGTTCTCAGTAGAGGTTGATTATTTTGAGTTCGAGTTTAAGTTCAGATTCTCCCCGTTTACTGACTTACCATGTGAAGTGTCTCTGCACTTGCCATGCCCAGGTCCACAGATGGGGTCTTCCAGTCCTGAACCATAATTTCTAAACTAAGCTGATTTTTTTTCCAAAGAAAACTCCTCAGAGATTAGAGTAATGAAAGGTGAATATGTAAGATAATCGATGTTTCAGATGTAAGCATTATAGATGAAATTTAAGTAAAAACTCTGTTGCAATTCCATCAAAGTATGAATGTATATTAATTTTGGATGAATGAACTGCAATAATTACTGCAGTTTATATTTAAAATTAATTAATTAAAAACAATTATTACTAGCTGCAGGTAGATTAGTAGGAACGTAGGTTGGTAGCTATTACAAATATAAAGAGGGCATATTATACAGATAGCTTATGAAGAATAATATATTGTTTTATTTGTTTTACTGAGTGTCATTTAAAAACCTGAGTTTCATTTTTCACGATTAATTAATATATTTGAAAGGTAAAGTTGAAAGAGAGATCTTCCATCCACTGGTTCACTTCCTCACACAGCCACAATGGCTGGAGCTGGTTCTGTCTGAAGGTAAGAATCAGAAACCAGGAGCTTCTTCTGGGTCTCCCATATGCATGCTGTGGACCAAGCACTTGGGCCATCCTCTAAGTGCTTTCCGGGCAGCAGGGAGCTGGATAGGAAGTAGAACAGTTGGTACTCAAACCAGTATCCACATGGAGTGCTGGCACCACAGGCAGAGATTTTACCCACTGTATCACAGCACTATCCCCCTAAGTTTCCTTCTTACCTAACTCTGTTTAGAACAGGGTCATGTTTATCCACTCACCTGAGCTGAAATTTAGCCCAGAGCATTTTAAAATACTTAAAATAGCAACAATGGGGCCCAGCGGTGTGGCCTAGTGGCTAAAGTTCTCGCCTTGAATGCACCGGGATCCCATATGGGTGCCAGTTCTAATCCCGGCAGCTCCACTTCCCATCCAGCTCCCTGCTTGTGGCCTGGGAAAGCAGTCGAGGACCGCCCAAAGCGTTGGGACCCTGTACCCGCGTAGGAGACCAGAAGAAGTTCCTGGTTCCCGGCTTCGGATAGGTGCAGTACCAGCCATTGCAGTCATCACTTAGGGAGTGAATCACCGGACAGAAGATCTTCTTCTCTGTATATCTGACTTTGTAATAAAAATAAATAAATCTTTTTAAAAAATTAGCAACATTAACATTATAATTAAAATTTAGAGTTACAATTTTAGATGTGTATCCCAAGAGGGTATTTTTTTTTAATGGTCATACTTATCATCAACCTTGACTTCAGATGACTAGGGATTTTCCTTCTTAGTGTTTGGCATTCAGCTGAAATATATATTCAGTAAGCCTCTAGTGGAGGCATAATGTGGTCTGAAAAATATGAGAAAGGCAACATTAATTCCAGCTGATGGCATCAGAAAAGTTCAAGTGACAACAAGCATTTGAGGTGGACATGGAATGTGAGGAGCTTCCAACAGGCAGAGATGGGCTAAAAGAAAAAAGGTGGTACAGACTGGAGAATCTGCTTGGATTATTTCTATAAATCTGCATCCAGCCATGCTTTTGTGTTCTCTGGTGCCTACCTGCTTCTGCTTTAGCTAGCTCCATGTTCCTAGAATGAAATACCTTTCAGTATTAAGTCCGTGTCTTAAGTTTTCTCAGTCCTCCAATTAAGATAGACATTAAAAAAAAAAAAAAGCTTAAGCAAACAAACAAAAAAAAAATCTGTTTCCTAAAGGAACATTTCCTAACAGGAAAATTGCCACTGGTATTAATTTGGATATGATGATTCATTATGACACATGCTTTTATGAGTTAACTCAGCTGGAAATTTAGAGATAACACTAATTAGGGTTTGTCAAAGTGGAGTAGAGTTGGAGTACACTTTATCAATCACTTTCACTCTAAGCAAACCCTGAAAACAAAAGAACCATATCCAATGCTTTGCTCAGACATTTTTCCTGTAGAATTCAGCTGTTTTCTATTACTTGACCTGGGATTACGTGCAGGGGGTGGCCAACACACACCTGCATTTCTGGGTATCGCCTTTTGTGGATAAGGCACTGTGGCAATCATTCTTTGCTAGGAGAGTCTTTGATGAAACCAACCTCAGACTGTTTCCTTTTTTCCCACATAACACTATGGCAACTGCTGGGTTTGCATGGGGTTCTGACCCATGGGATTTCTCGTTCTGAGGTCCAGGTAGATGGACCAGCCTCTGTTTGGAACATGCTTTTTCTTTTGGTTGAAGCAAGAGCAAAGCTCCCAGCCTCCATCCAGAGCTGTCAGATTGTCCCTTCTACTCACATTGCAGTGAACAAAGCAGATCCGCATTTCTAAGCTTTGGAAATACAGCATAAGATTTCTGAACAAAGAAGGAAAAACCCCTCACTAGATCGTAACCAAGCCGGGAGATGCTGCTGCGATGCTGGGTTAGTCACACAGCTGTGGGTTGGGGCTGTTTGCCTCAGGAGGAAAGCAAATATTTGGAAACAGCAGTTTACCAAAGGCAGTTACTGGGCTACCATTTTTTCACTGATTTATGAAAATCAGATATTCAGGTTTCTCTTTTTTCTCCCCTCTCAACATTCACTTATCTATACCTTTTTTGAGTACCTACTGTGTGTTGGGCAGAGGTGTAGGGATGAAGCAGACACAGCCCTTATACAGAGCTTACACTGAGTGGAGAAGCAGCATGGTGCTGGGGAGGGACACGTATTATGCAGATGGAGTGAACAATGGAGAGAAAGAATAAAAGTGTTCAGAGAAAAACTTTGGGATGTGATGTTTGAGGGCAGGATTGCCTGGGCAGTGCAAAGGCCCCGCCAAGGGGATGTTTTTGTCAGGGCTGAGACACCGCAGGACTGCCACTGTGACTGGGACAGAGTGAGAATGTGTGCTTTTTGGGGGAGTGACTTCGGAGTTTATTCCAAACATGATGAAAGCCATGAATGGTTTGGAGCAGGAGGCAGTTCTCTGATTTAATTTTTTTTAAATGGTTTGAGGGCCAGAGAGAAACCGAATTAAATGTGCTCCTTCATTCTCCACAGTGTCCACATGGCCAGGTCCGGGCTGGGCAGAGCTGGGAGCCAAGAACACAGTGCAGGTGTCCAGTACACAGACCAGCGGATGAGCTCTTGAGCCACGGCCACTGCCTCACGTTTCTGCATCAGCAGGAAGAAGGGAGGGAGAGATAGAACTGGGACTGAACACTCCAACATGGAACCCGAACTTCATAACTGCTATGCAAAATACCCAGCCTGATTTTTTTTTTTAAAGATAATTCTGGCTGCTGACATGAAGAATGAATAGATCATAGCAAGAGCAAAGCAGTAAAGTTTTTATTATTATTTTTTCATCTTAGACTAAGAAGTTATTCTGAATAGCTTTTGCCCTGTGTGTGGAATTTATCATACATGATTTATAGGAGATTGGTGTTTGAACACATCATGATTACAGCAGGATGACATTTGTCTGAAGAAAGGACAAATCGCTTTATTTGAGAAAAAATAAACTGAAAAGTGTAGGTTTGTTAAAAGGAAAACTTAAGATTAATTGCAGGGCCCAGCATTGTAGCCTAGTGGCTAAAGTCCTCTCCTTGGACGCGCCAGGATCCCATATGCATGCTGGTTCTTATCCCTGCGTCCCTGCTTCCTATCCAGCTCCCTGCCTGTGACCTGGGAAAGCAGTGGAGAACAGCCCAAAGCCTTGGGACCCTGCACCTGTGTGGGAGACCTGAAAGAGGCTCCAGGTTTCTGGCCAGTGTGGCCACTTGGGGAATGAATCATCAGATGGAAGATCTTCCTCTCTGTCTTGCCTTCTCTCTGTATATCTGACTTTACAATAAAAATAAATAAATCTTTAAAGAAAAATATATCATGATTACAAAATTAACACTGACTTCAAAGGGCACACATATTTGCATTTAAAAGGATATTTATATTTGGTGTTCTTCATTGCTGGAATTCGAAATTCCAGGGTGTTTGCTCAGCCAGGGGTGCTTCCGGATGGGAGGGGAACAGGTCCGTGCTAGGAGAGTTTAACTACGGGGCGGCTCCTCCCTGGGTGTAGTTGGAATGTACTTCAAGCAGGTTCTGCCATAGGCTCCCTTACTGCATTTTCTGAAAGGTGCATCATAGCTCAGCATTACTGCAGGGGCTGGCTACTCCTGAAGGGCCTGCCAGGGGGATGCCCAGAGAAGGACTGAAACGAACGAATGCAAGGGCATCGCTGTTGCCCTCAGCGTCTGTACAAAATGAGGCCACTGCGTGAGCCGTCGGCCAGTCGTCCTTGAGGGTTTCTTTTAGCCTTTGTCTCCCTCCCCCCAGTGCCTGCGTTAACACCAATCCCATCCCAAGTGCCGAGGGATGGGATGGGTCAGAAACAGCTGGAGGAGACAGAAGCATCATCATCTCTGACCACCACTCCCTGAAGCTATGACCCTCTTAGGTCTTTGAGCCTTGGCTTTTGTGTGTTTGCTATTGTATCTCTTTCATGGCAAGTTTAAAGAGGTGATGTCATATCCTCGCTTTAGTAACCAAGGGAACAATACAAACCCTGGCCTTTGTACGTTTTTTTTTTTTTTTTTTTTTACAAAAGGTCAAAGTTCTACACCGGGGGCTCCTGGATCTCTCTGGTTTCTCGCTTCCAGAGCGTCGAGGGCAAGTGTTGTCCCCGGCGGGCGAGCGTTGGTCTCAGGCTGAGCGGCGGGTTCGGGATCCGAAGTCCCTTCCGACGTTCTGCCGCTGCAGAGACCTGGGTTGGCTGGCCGCCGCGCCTTCCGTTCTTGCACTACAATTCCCAGAGTGCCGCGCGCCCGGGCAGCGCGCAGGCGCGGCGGCGGCGCAGGGGGAACCAGCCGCACCGACAGTGCGGGCGAGGTGGGGGAACCGCTGGCGGCAGGCTCCGGCGACTCCCTGGGCAGCGGACGCGGGTGGACCGGCCAGGGCTGCGAGCCGAGGAGCGGCCGGCTGCCGGCAGTTTCCGCGGTTCTGTGAGGGAGGCTCGGCGGCCGCCGCGGCGCGTCAGGTAAGCACAACCCGGTGCTTTCCAGGAAGTCCCGTCTGAAGGCGCGGGGCAGGGGAGCCGTACCGGCCATGGTGGCGGAGAGGTTGCAAGACTTCCCCGCCGTCCGGCTCCGGTCTCCTTCCCTGTCGGAGAAGCGGGGGGCCGGGTCGGGGTGGAGGGAAGCGCTGGGCGTCGCCTGCGGGTCCAGGCGCGCGAACCCGGAGTGACTGATGAATCACCGGGTTCGGGACCGGCCCTGCCCTGCTGCCCTGCCGTCCTGCCCGGGCCGTGAAGCCCCTCTCACGCCCCGCCGTGCCCACTCGCCCCTTCCTCCGGTCCAGCGTCCGCACAGGGTTCCCTTCAGCCCCCACAAGACTCCTTCAAGGGTTGCTGTTGGCTGAAAGTTGGAAAAGAGGGAGACAGACAGCAGCTCGGGGGCACACCCTTTTTGTGATTGAAATCCGGCTCGTCTGGCAGTCTCGGTCCTGAGCTCTGCCCTCCGTCTTAGAATAAATCCCTGGCTGTCCAAGCCGCACAGCTGGATCCGGCTGCGAAGTGTGTCCGTCGATTTATTTTGAGGACGTGACTGGGTTGTTAGCATTTTTTGGCTTTACGGAGGTTGATGTGTGTGCTCCGCGAGCAAGCCTCTCTGATTACAAACAGAAATGGGAAACAGCCACGAGTTCTTTTCCTTCGGTTGTGTGATTTTTTTTTTCCTTAGTGTTTAGTTAAGAATCGCATTTCCAGCTTGCCCTTGGCTTCTCTTAAAACCAAAAGTCATCTGGTAATGAACACGGCAGTAAGACTGACCCAGGAGGTCATACTTGTACAGGAAATACGCCCCTGGAGATGGCAGTGAGCTATGTGCGGTCGGCCTCGGTTTGTAGCATTTTCTGGTGGCTCATGTTTCTTTCTTTCTTCTTCTTTTTTTTCTTCTTCTGAGAATCATTCAGAATTGGTTTGTTTTTTTTTGGGGGGGGGAGATTAAACTGATTAATTAATTGTCCTTCCAAGCGTTTCTTGGGCTTACAAAAGTGGTTTTGCCCCAGCTCGTGGACTTGCGAATATCTTCAGGTCCTAAGTATCTACTCCCCTGCTGTCTGTTCATTAAATAAAGAGTCCACAGTCATTGTAATATTTGGAATTCCCTTTCTAACAGAAACAAACGGCGAGCTAAAATGACAGCTCCAACACATACTAGCTCTCTAGGCTTTGTTAAGTTGCACCTCTCAATATACCTAGTTTGTTAATCTTTTAAATAAGGGAGTTGGGCCAGATAACCCCAAAATTATTCCAGCATCTTTGATTGTTAAAGTATTGTTTGATACATGCAGGAAACATTTTGCCCTGTGTTGTTGCAAACCTGTGGTAGGCAGGAAGGAACAACTATGAGTTCTTGAGACTGTTAATTCCTGTGTTTTATGGTGTGCCCAGCAGGCCAAATTACTCTGTAATTAATAATTTCACCGGAAGTTCAAAACATACAGGTCAAATCCCTTTGCAATTACAGGTGATGATTTCACTCAAAGCAGAGCGTCTTTGGTCTCAACTACTGGCCCATTTTAAATTGCAGTTCTGCAGAAAGGATATGAATGTTGTGGAGTGATGCTTTTTGAACTTTTGCATGTATAAATGACTCAGGATCTTGTAGTTTGGGAGTGGGGTCCTAAAATCTGTGTGTCTGTCTGATTGATGTTGCTGTCGTCCCTGACACTTGGCAAAGTGGAGAGACAGGCTTTTTTTTTTTTTTTTTGAGATTCATTTATTTTTGTTTGGAAGTAGGAGTTACAGAGATAGAAGGAGAGACATATCTTTTATCCACTGGTTCACTTCCCAAGTGGCCACCAGGGCCAGAGTTGGGCAAGGCTAAAGCCAGGAGCTTCTTCCTGGTTCCCACTTGGGTGCAGGGGCTCAAGGACTTGGGCCATTCTTTGCTGCCTTCCCAGGCACAATTAGCAGAGAGCTGGTTGGGAAGTGGAGCAGCTGGGACTTGAACCCATGTCCGTATGCGACACTGGGGCTGTAGGCAAAGGTTTAACTTAGGACATCCATGTGGCTGACCTGATGGGAGATAATTTTACAGATTTTTTTTTTTTTATTGGAAAGGCAGATATACAGAGAGATATACAGAGAGGAAAAGAGACAGGGAGGAAGATCTTCCGTCCTATTAATCACTCTCCAAGCTACTGCAGTGACTGGAGCTGTGACAATTTGAAGCCAGGAGCCTCTTCCAGGTCTCCCATGCGGGTGCTGGGTCCCAACCGTTCTCAACTGCTTTCCCAGGCCACAAGCAGGGAGCTGGATGGGAAGTGGAGCTGCCAGGATTTGAACCAGTGCCCATATGGGATCTCAGCGTGTTCAAGGCGAGGACTTTAACCACTACACTATCGCGCCCAGCCCAGTTTTACAGATATTTTAGGGGCGAGTGTGTGGTACAACATGTATGCATCCCATATGTGTGTTGGTTCCTGTCCTAATTGCTCCACTTCTGATCCAGGTCGCTGCTTGTGGCCTAGAAAAGCAGCAGAGGATGACCCAAGACTTTGGACCCCTAAATCATTTGGGAAACCAGGAAGAAGCTCCTGGCTCCTAGCTTTGGTTCAGCTCAGCTCTGCCCTTTGGGGAGTGAACCAGTGGGAAAGGAAAATTTCTCTGTCTCTCCTCTCTGTAAAATCTGCCTTTCAAATAAAAGCAAATAAATCGTAAAACAAAAACAACAAAAAACTCTCTTTATATCTCCTCTCTGTCATGCTGCCGTTCAAGTCAGCATTTTTCAGAAGCATTTTAAACTGGTTATAATAACAGTCATATAATAATATGACTGGTGCATATCACTGTCATATTCAGTACATATCCATGACTTTCCAGCTCTCAGTTTTTGAGAATAATCCTGTTTAGCAAAGGTAGTTGCTTTCACAACTTGTTTTTTCTCCTTGCTCTGTCTCTCAGCTCTTTGCTCCTCTTCTCCTCCATTCTCCATTGTTTGCATTCTCAGTAATTCAACAAGTATCTATTTCACCCCATCCATTACAAGGCACTGTCTTCTGTCTTAGGTGCTGGGAATATGCAGAGGACAGGTTGCTGTCTGGAAGCTTACTCTCTGAGATTAGGCATGTGTATTTGCCTGCCACTGGGAGCGCTGGGAGGAGCCATTTGTAGGGAATAAAAACATGTGGTAGGTGTTAAGAAGACATGCTTTGCAGTTGGAGGAGTGGGGAAGAAATGAAGTCCATTCACTGCTCATCTCTGCTCCCTGACACTGAAATCTCTGTGCTGTTGGAGGTATTTACGTGGAGCACACCAAATTTTGTAAATTTACTTTATTTGGAACATGAGAAGAGTTGGCTACATGAAAATCAGCTCTATCTGGACAGTGTCTGGGGGGGACAGAGGCAGCAGAGATGCAAGTAGATGTGGCTAAGCACGAGTGCTGCGAGGGTAGGTACAGACCTGAGGATCCAGTACAAAAGGAGGGGGAAGTAGGGTGAGCAGGTGTTCTGTGTCACTGGCGTACGCTGATGTTGTTATTGGGGCTGTGTTACTATCTTTTAAAAATCAAATCAGCTGGCAGGCTACGCCAGGGCTTTTCAGTTGCTATTAAATTTTAAATGTGCATGGGCTCCCTGGGTGAAGGTGGTTAGTTAGGCATTATCCTCTGGCTGTAATGGTGGTTACAACACTGTCATCCTCCCATCCTCCACCTTTCCTTGCTGACATTTGGCATATGTGCTTGCTCAGTTTTATGTCACATCCTTTATAATTATAAAGTCACATGGAGAGGAACATGGTACAGAAAAACAGCTGGGACCTGTGTTGCACAATGCGTTAAGCCTCTGCTGCAGCACCTCAAGTCCCTAGTCCAGCTCTTCTTTGATTCCAACTCCCTGTTGATATATGTGGCAAAGCAGCAGAAGATTGCCATGGGCCCCTGCTGCTCCTGTGGGAGACCCTGGTAGAGTTCCTAGCTCCTGACTTTGGCCACTCTGCCTTTTCTTTTTTCTTATCTTTTTTTTTTTAAGATTTATTTTATTTTTATTGGAAAGGCGGATATACAGAGAGGAGAGACAGAGAGGAAGATCTTCCATTCGATGATTCACTCCCCAAGTGAGCACAAAGGCCGATGCTATGCTGATCCGAAGCCAGGAGCCTCTTCCGGGTCTCCCGCGCGGGTGCTGGGTCCCAAAGCTTTGGGCCGTCCTCGACTGCTTTCCTGGGCCACAGGCAGGGAGCTGGATGGGAAGCCGGGCCGCCGGGATTAGAACCGGCGCCCATATGGGATCCCGGGTGTTCAAGGCGAGGACTTTAACCACTATGCCATCGCGCCGGGCCCTCTTTTCTTTCTTTTTTAAGATTCATTTGTTTTTATGGCAAAATCAGATATACAGAGAGGAAGATCTTCTGTCCAATGAATCACTCCCCAAGTGACCATAATGGCTGGAACTACGCCAGTCCGAATCGAGGAGCCGGAATTTCCTCCACATCTCCCACACGGGTGCAGGGTCCCAAGGCTTTGGGCCATCCTTGACTGCTTTCCCAGGCCACAAGCAGGGAGCTGGATGGGAAGTGGGACTGCCAGTGTTAGAACCAGTGCCCAAATGGGATCCCTGAATGTGCAAGGTGAGGACTTCAGCTGCTAGGCTAACGTGCTGGTCTCCACTCTGCCTTTCTAATGCACAAAATCTTTAAAGAAAAGAGGAAGTTCTACTAGAACTGTAATACTCTCTTTGATACTTATTAAAATTACAGATAAGCAAATTCAATTTGCTGTTTATATAAAATTGTAAATAAATGAACATGCATTCTTACATCTTTTTGTGTTTGCAATCCATCATGTTATTTATGCTAATCCAAGAATGGAGTTCTGAATAACCTAACGTGGCAAGTGATTGAAATGCATGTGTGGTATGCTAGAATGTCATCTGAAACCATCGTTATAACTGTATCTTGAAACAATTGTAGTTTTTATAGTTTTTTAATTGAGATATAACTACCATTGAATAGAATGTATATCTATTGGCCAG